CAGCCAGTTTGGAGCCCGGCTGCCTCCTGGGACCCCGCCACATGACCCCGCCCAGAGCCGGCCTAGGCCCAGCGGGACCCCGAGAGGAAGCGCGAGGGCGGGAGGTGGCAGCCGCCTGGGCAGGCCCCAGGGGTCCAGGAGCCCCACAGGCCGGGGAGACCAGGGAGGAGGGCGCGGGGGTTCTCCACCCTTCGCGGCCTGCCAGGCCACCCCTGGGGTCCCTCACACACCTGCACTGCCGGGGGCGGGGCGCAGACTGGGTGGGTGCGCCTCGCTTCCAGCTGGCCCCACGTAGAGGTGGAACTTGGGCGTAGGCAGCGCCGGGTTGGAGCTCTGAGCGCAGTGGAGGCCTTCCTGCCGCCTCCCCGCGCCCCGCGGCGTCTGTACTGTCTGCTGGAGGGCCACCTTCTTCGCCTTCAGGTGTTCAAGGCCCAGGCCTGCTAGTGACCAGCTCTCCTGCTCACTTGGACTGAGGGGTTTCTAGGGACTCGGGGCTTTACGTGCTGAGACCAGGCAAGTCTGGGGTGCACCGGGTGATCGTCCTAGATCTGGCCCCGTCCCCAGGCTCCCTAGAAACCTAGGAGAATACTGGCGCCCCAGTGCGCCCTGATCCGACCCCGAGCCGGGGTCTGGGTTTGTGAGGCTGGGAAGGACTCACAGACGCGAATCGCTGGGCCTCACCTGCAGTGCCCACCCTCCACGCCACTGGCTGCAGGTCAGGGCCCCTCGTGGGGACCACGCACGTGCTCTGCTGCCACGGACAGGCACTCAGGCCCTAGTCCCACGTGCAGACACACAGTGCACACGTGTGCCCACTACGTGCCAGCCTGTTCCTCTCCACAAAGACACGCATAGCTGTGCACACCACACACGCCACACACAGGCCACACACACGCCACACTCACACACACACGCCACACTCACACACGCCACACTCATACACACACACGCCACACATCACACACATCACACTCACACCACACACGTTACACATATCACACTCACACACCTCACATTCACACACTTCAAAAACACATGCTACACACACGAATCACACACATCAGACACATCACACTCACACCACACACATGCCACACACCACACTCACATCACACACACTCCACACTCACACACTTCACACACACATGAATCACACACATCACACGGACACCACACTCACAAACACATCACACACACTCACACTCACCCACACACACCATACACAAAGCACACCACACACACGGCACTCACACAGACCATATCACAGATCACACCCAGCACACTCACACACAACACAACCATATACACCCCACCTATATGCATTACACTCACACACCCACCACACCCACACACCTCATACACACAGCACACACACAACACACAGACGCCACATGCACTGCAAACACCCCATGCACTTACACACAGACAAGCATGTGCATACAGCCACACACTCACCGTACACCCCCACCCTCTCCACATCACACACACGACACACACCACATGCACACCCTACACCACACACATCACAAGCATACCACACACACTGTGCATACTGCACCCCTTCCATACTGTGAACATGCGTCACAGTCCCCGTGTGCACACAGACATCACACATAGCACACACGCACTCCACACACGTTGCACACTGGCCCACAGCATGCGTGGACCCTCCCGTCTCCAGCTGGAGCTGCCTCAGGTCAGGCCTGGCCTGGCACTCATGGCAGCTCTGACAGCTCAGGCTCAGAGACGGTTGGCGCAGAGACCCCAGAGCCCACAGAGTCCTGCAGAGCCCCCAGAGCCGGCAGAGCCCCCAGAGCCCCCAGAGCCGGCAGAGCCCCCAGAGCCCACAGAGTCCCCAGAGCCCCCAGAGCCCACAGAGTCCCCAGAGCCCCCAGAGCCGGCAGAGCCGCCAGAGCCCGCAGAGCCGCCAGC